AAAAAATGAATAAATAAATAACCTCGTGCACGTTTGTCTGGTAGTAGTTAAATCTCAGGTTATACGTGTTGTACGCGATGTAGGTATTTATATAGGGTGATTCTTTCATCGAGATCTATATAGTATATAATATATAATAGTTAGGTATACGTCGAGAAATACGCAGTGATTAAAAATGTTTTTCCGACGTTCATTTTAGAATCAATATAAATTTACGATAACTGCAATGAGTGTTAACTTTCAGAAAAATTAATTGTCATTAGTTGATTGTAAAAAATAGTTTCTTTTGAACTATGCACTAATATGAATTCAATTCTATAACTTTTATTTTGCAATTGTTTGCATTTATGATTTATTACCTAGGTCTTTTTAACCTCTTTTTAATCCTTTTTCATTTTTCGATATTTTTTTATTATTTTTATTAGTTTAAAATATTATCATACATATTCGTATATATTATTTTCATCTCATAAATATTTTATATATTCAGAACGAACGTCATACTCAATAATTTTATTTTTAATTGGAAATAATTTACACATGATAGATTTTTTAATTTTTAAAACTATGATTAATAATTATACTAACAGTGTAATTCATATTGCATTTTTTTTTTGAAATTTTAAGTTTTGATAATGATAAACTATCATCCATACCAATAATGTGTGAATAATAAATACATGAGAAATAATATATTTATTTATGTTGTTTGTATAAGCGAGTGTAGTTATAATTCTAATGATAAATAATAATAATATTAATGTTATTTTAATTTGAATTCGATAAAACTGTGATACGAGTATTATATTTCAAACGCGCGCATTATGATCATAATATTCTCTAATAATAAGGACAATCGTATTATTTTAAATTTTCAATTTTAATGCAGTGGGTTGGCAACCACAACTCATGAACCAAGTTACACATTTTGCGATTATTTTTTGCCTTGAGATTTAAGTATAAAAATGTACCTGCACATCTTAAATCACATAAAACAGTGAGACGATCAGAAATATTTACGATTCTTTTACATAATAATATTTGCAAGATATTACATTATTACTATAATAGGTAACTACATATATAAGAATATAAAGGTAGAATATAGCGTTTACGAGTTATTTATAATGCTGTGCAAGCAGAGTAAAAATTTGTATTCAAAGTATGTGAATAATGAAAAAAAATTCATCGTGAAACAAAAACGTAAACAGATTAAAGATTCTGGATAATAATATAGCTTCAAGTACCAAGGATAGGTCTACGTTTTAGTTAGTTAAAGACAAATGTCGTATTGTTTATGTTCATTTGGCCATGTACGTCAAGTCGTAATGACTTTAATTAGCTGCCCTTTTCGTTCATGACCCCTGCGAACCGTATTTCACATACATATTATAATACCCGACCCAATACTGCATTGTTTCAAAAATGCATAGAATAATAATTGACGTTTAAAGAATCGCATGCATGCGCCTATATAAATATCGAGAGTTTATTTTATATAAGACAGTTTATAATCGTATCGCATTTTAAAACGTGTTCATTAGCATGATTGAAAAATAATAATATCTGTCGATGTGTATTTGTCTATTTAAACGACTACATTTAGGTCAGATTTGACATTAACACGTTTATCTATATGCATATACAATATACATGGAACTTGTACAGAATTAAAATAATAATATGAGTTTAAAAAATATTATTAGATAAGACGTTCATTTGCGCTATTAAATGTTTAAGTTAGGATACTCAACATCATTTAAACGTATCAAACCGTAATGATTAAAAGGTTTCTTATTCGGTTTCGTTTTTTTTCCATAGTATTTTTTTTTTGCGATCGTATCGATTTCAGAATTCGTGGGAACATAATTTTAATTTTTAAACAACTGCTGTTCATAATAACATATTTTATACAAAAGTAGCTACTTGTTTTTAAAATTGATCATGCTATACATGTTTTACTTTGTGTAGATTTCGGAATATGCCCATATATATTATTAAAGTAAGTGGCAGTTATAAATTATAATCCACATTATACATGGTTACAAGATAATAACAGTAAATTGTAAGTAAAAAATCTATATTTATCACATTATATTCAGAATATTATAAAGTTATGTCTCTAAACTAAATGTAGACTCAAAATGAATATATTTTAATAATTGGATGTGTTTAATTAATTACCTAATTAAATTTCACATGTACAATTTAAGAAATGAAAAAAATACGGATTTAGAAGTGATACTATTTACCAATATTTCCAATATTATGATATTATGATCTGCCCTTCCTTAACCTAAAAATTACAATAAACAGCAATCGTGTAGAGTAAAATATAATTAGGAAGTTGATATTATGTCTTTATACGCGGAGAAAACCCTCCACGTTATCGCGTATTCACTATCAGAATAAAATACTAATGTAGTACAATAATCCATACGGAAAATTTATGTACTCTACGCGCTACGAGAACTGTAAGTCTCAAAGCGATCTGTATATTTTTTATATAGGTACCACCTCCGGTTGAATAAACAATCCGCCAGCGTCTCAATAGATAATGAAATAATAAGTATATGTATTATGTGCATTACTATTTAAAAAATTCAATAATAAATTAAAGAAGATTCTAAAAAGACTAATATTTTGGCCAAGTAACCTTCAATAAATTGTAATATCATTTTTTGTGGTTTAACATTTACTTTACTATGTACCATGTAATTAAATCATGATAAAAAATTCATAAATAACATAAAATGACAAACGAATAACAAAAAATTAAATTATATCTTTATATTTATTTATAATAATCCACAAAAATATGTATAACCATAAATTATTGTGATTGTTATGAATAATAAAAACAATAAAAATTATAATTTGTAATTTTAATAGTGGTGGATATCAAAAAAATTTGGAGAACTATGAGTTTAGTTTTATGTCTTAAATTTTTTTCAAAATTAAACGGACGAAAGAAAAATATTGAAATAAAAGTATATCCATAGTAATAGGTAAAATAAATTGAAATCTATAAAATGATCTTAGATAAAAGTTGAAATTACTGTAATTTAAAAATATTGAGTTTAGATCAACTACTTTTATAATTTGACTAATTGTAATGTCAGGCTAAAAAAATTTTCCTTTATTAAAAAAATAATAAGTCACAAAATTTATAGATTGAATATTAAAAAAATAAATATTTTTCTTTATTTCAGTTATAATTACGAGTATGTTATTCCTAAAAAAATCTCATTTTTTTTCTTTCTATATTATGCTAAGTGAACTGGCCAAGATATTAATTGAATACAGTTAACTCGGAGCGTGAACACGCTGCTGAATATAATACATACAGTTTAAATAAATCAAAACATTACCAGTTATTATTATAGGACAGTATATATAGGTACGCCTTGTCGTTCAGTGACGGTATACCTATTTAAATAAAGCTACTTTTGTATTCTTTTCATATTTGTTTTTTTTTTTTTCACCACTAGGAATAAGAATAAATATAATATTATGTTTACACGATAATCGTACATATAAACACATACTGTGGGTATATTTTTTAACATAGGTACTTGTAATATATCATCGTGGGAATGAAAAAAAAAAAAAATGAAACCACGAAGAAGACGATAGTAACGACGACGACGACAACGGCTACGTCCAAAAAACGATGGATAATAACAAGGTGTCGGACATGACGACGATGTGCTGCACACAATACTCGTATGTAGGCATATCATAATATCGGTTATAATAATTGTACCTATTATTGTTTGTTTATTTACGTTTTATTATTATAGTGTTGTTATACCTCCGCGACGACGAAGATGACGGCTGCAGTCGGTCCCGTTCACGACCGGAGCACGCGATCCTCCTCACGGTGGCTCCCGCGTTTTCGGACTCGATCACGACCGGGGCGCGTGTGGGCGCTCGCGCCGCTCTAACACACACACTCGCTCACTCACACCAACACACATTTGTGTGTTACGAACGTGCAAACGCGCGCGAGGTCATGAGAAAGTGTCCGACGACCACTGCCGCCGTATAGTGTGTTTGTGGGACACACACCCACTACAGAGAGATATGGACATATGAAATGGGTACACAATATTATTATAATATTATACGCGCACCGTACAACGATCCGATTTACCGATATGTCACCGGCGCTCCGAACTACCGGTATTTAAATACCAAGCGGTATAAAATATAATATTATGTTGATTTGAAAAGCCGCACGGCGAGTCTTTGCGAATAAAACGCCATCGTACACATACATTGCTGCGTGCACGAAATACGAATAATACCAATATAAAAAATAATCGCTACGCGCGCGTTGCATTATTATGCAGTGTGTCTGTGTGTAGATATCGTTCCGGTGTAAACGTATGTAGTTTACCGTCGTTTCGTTAAAGTTCAGATTACACATTTCAGCTGTACACAGCTAGCATGTTATTAAATTATTGTTATTACGTATAGGTATTTATAAATACGGATGTTTGTGAAACCATTACAATACTATAGCGCCGTTTAGGTACTCTATATACTATAGTGTATAGCCAGTATAGGTTTTCGTAAGGATGATTTTGCAAAGTGCTCACGTAATAGTTATGATTTATGAGTATGTCGTTTATTGAGTTTTTTGTAATTTGAACGTAGTAAAAACATTATAAGCATGTTATTGACACTATATATTAATTAAATAATAAAAATATAATATGCTACAGGGTTCTTAGTATTCGATAATTAGAAATTCGTTCAAAAAGTGGAAATGGTGAACTAGAAAATGTGATTTAAATTATATTTACGTATATCACTGTAAGCAGATTATTCATTGCTTGTGGATTTTTGTTTTTTTTTTTTTAATATAATCTTTATACTGAGTATTTGTTTCTACATAAGCATAAATCGGAGTCCTGACTATTGGTTCCGACGATCTACTCAATGACACTGTATTCTAACAACTATACTTAATATAATTGTGTAAATTTTCTTACCTTAGAAAATCCGTAACTAGGCGTTGGCAAGCAGTGATGGTGTAGACATTCGTGACGTTTGAATGCTGTAAAAAAAAAATATATATATATATATAAATAAATTATTAATGTGAATATTACATGTTTTAACGTGTATAAATATAATAAAATTAAAGAGTAAATTTCACGCGATTTGAAATGATAAATTAATATTTTTATTTTATTCGAAAAAGACAAGGTCAGATTCAGCGTTGACGGCTATAGAAATATTGGCTTTTATAATAATGTTCTCTCTGCTGGCGAAGTTCCTACCTATATTGCAGGTGTTTGAACGTTTGTCACATTGTATACCCATAATATGTTCTTATGTGCGCTATTTACGAGTGTTTTATAGCCAACCTTTTACTGCATTTATTGATCGCGTATTAATATTTATTACATCATTATTAATACAGATATATAGGTACACTACGTTTAATGGACGTTTACTCAATAATAAACCAGTAATTAATATTATTATTGTGTCACAATATTTTATGTTTACTCTTTTTATGAATTTTAAAGTTCGCATGCATTATAATAATATATGGAGAAAATTCAAGTTTTTTTTTTTTTTTTTTAATTGAACTATAAAATACTATAATTATATATAAGAGACTATTATTATATGTTATCCAGAAGATACATGTATAAATTAACGGTCGAACTTGCAAGAATTTATCATGCGAACTGCTAAATTCCAAAATGATAAATAATATATACTTTTATAAATATACATATAGACATGATAATTATTTGTCGATAACATTTTTGGCCTTAACGAATAAATAAAATGTTCGATATGACAATATTAATAGTTTGTAATTATGATTCAGCAATATATTTGAATGAGTAATGAATCATTACAAATTGTACCAACTTAAATTACATTAGTGTTTAACAGTTTTTATTCCCTTTGCATCACATTCAATGTCTAGAGCCGTTTATATATTGGAGGTGTATTTCTAGTATATATTTACAAATATAATCGGGATTTGAATATTTAGCTTACGTAACGATTTGGATCTTCAGAAACGAATAGAGGGTCAAGTGTAGAAAATTCCATCAATGATTAGAATATTTGACGTTTAAGTACTCTTCAAACATAAAACATTATTTGTTGCATCATCGTATGGCAAAAAAATAAAAATAAAACTTTGAACAAATCCATATAAATATACTTATGTGTATATGTGTGTGTGTGTGTGTGTGTGTGTGTGTGTGTGTGCGTGTGTATGTGTCGTACACTTATACATAAACGTTTACCTATTGTGTAGGAATTATAGGTGCTATAGGTGTACTGTACACATAAATTAAACAAATTTGAATGTAATTTTAACTGAGGTTATTTATATTATGTATGTATTTTTAGTCGACTCGATAAATTCTTGTCGGCTGGTACTTCAAAGTTGGTTAATATTTTTTCTCATTCTCGCAATACACAACAATTTTATTCTACAGCCACGGTACAAACTAATAATTGTCATAATTGGTATGTGCTTGATGATTTATTATTTTTAGTATGTCTATATGGTTTATCACAACAGATAATTTACTATGACGTAATAAACTCTAAAGTATTACTAATATAATATCCGCTTCGGATAAAAAAATACAAAATTATAAAACATTTATTTTTTATAGTTCGATATTTTTATTAAAAAATTAATAATAAACATTGCAGGGTTATAATATATAGTCCTGGATTCTGGGATGCTTACGATATTATATTTTATACATTTTAGAATTAATCATTTATCGCAAATGACTGAATGCAATTAATATTAAAAACATCATAATATTATTCATTCAGGTGACATAATATTTTAAACAGATAGCCGATAAGTATAACCAATCACAATATAGGTTTGGTATTTTATTATTTAACGAAATAACGAATATGATTTACCCACTAGTACGGACCACGACGAAGAAAGTTCCAAACATGGAAAGGAGTCGCCTTGATCATGCATACCTAAATGTTTTACATTATTTCACGGTCGATTACGATATTTTATGAATTAGTCACGGATTACGCGCAGCGTCGCGTACTGCGTGCATATTAAACGAACGATGATAGGTGTACGGGATGTTTCGTTGCGGATTCGGACGAGAAATACGAATAGATAAAAAAAAAACACCGCAATGGCACACGACCGCCGAGATATAACCGATAATAATAATAAATTCAATATTCCGAATGTATTCGAAAAAAGTTCGACAAACGCGTAGATGATATAGACTTCGTAAAGGTTCAATCATCGTCCATCGTTATTATACATACATGCGTACACGTACCTATATAATAACCAATGTTTTTATATATATATATATATATATATTGTATGAATTAACGCCATAATAAGATTATCTTTAATCGCAGTTAAGGTATATATAATATAACATTATACTTCATGTACTCGTATTATTTTAGTATTTGAAATACACGCGTACGCATATCATTATACAAATTAATATCGTCGATCAACCAGCCGGCAAATATTTCATATGGATCACATGTTTAACCTTTTTCGTATATCTTCGTATACGCCGGACAGGCAAACGGAGGTATATATGAGTAATGACGTTACATAATATACTTAACTTAATATAAGCTATAGCGCAGCACCAAATATATTTTAAAATATTATTAAATATATGTTATTGTTGTGAATCTGCGTACGTAATAATATTCGTGTTTCGGATCCTACCTCCCGCACACCACCGACCACAAAATCTTATCCACTCTATCCAATAAATCCAGCTGTCGATTATCGTTGTTCTATGCGTGTTTATAGACTAATTATTAACCAAGAATGTTTTTTTTTCAAATAATGCAGTTATTCAAAATCCGATTTTTAAAATGCTTAATATACCTACTCACTAAAAAATCATATATTTTAAAATTCTTGAGATTTTTCTTATCATGCTTAATAATTTCCTTGTGGAAATTCAAACTTTTTTTCATAAAACAACGTCTCTTTTCTACAATAAATAAATTATTTTGCGAATCATTTTATTGAAAACTTTGACATACCTAAATCAAAACTTGAATGAAAAGTTTTTGACTTATTTAACTGTGTACCTACGCTAAAGGTAATAGGTCCATGATAATTAGTTTGAAATATCTAAGAACTATGGAAGTATTATTATAAGCTATATGATGCTAATTTAGTAATTGATTAATATTAATCTATCAGTTATAATTATTTATTTATTTTTATTATTATTTCTCTTTATACTTACATTTATAATTTATAAAAATAGCCATAGTATAATAAATATTATATCTAATATTACATGTGTTTTATATTTTTGTAAAACCATTTTTTTTTTTAAGTATTTTTATTTTAACTAAAAAAAAAAAAAAACTAAAAAACAATTTTGAACTCATCCAAATTTTAAATAATTATGTAAATACATCAACAATTATTCGCTTAATAATTTGTTGTAAAAACGCAGTTTTCATTTAAAAAATAGAATTTTATATCGTCACGGGATATTTTTTAAAAATAATATAAAAAAATCTTGAAATTTTAAAACAATTTCTTTAAGTATCTACTTGTGTTTAAAAATTTACTAAAATCAAAATTTGAATAAAATCATTATTTAAGGAGTAAAATTTTGAGATGTACATGTTTTGTAAATCATCCTGTGTATATTTACTAAGATGTGGGCATAGATGTAAGCATGCATATATAATACACTAACCATGTGCTTCAAGTCTGCTACAATACACAATTTTATATCATATAATACGCGCGCGCGTAATAATCTCTGTGGTGAATTTTCCACTACGCACTTCCCAATCGGTTGAAACGATTATACTTTGAATAATATACGCGTACCTATACCAATATTATGCACGATCATAGATCATACATCGCGCGTGTTATAATCGTCGATCCAATCGCGGGCACGACCCCCGTTGCGTATATTTGTATTCAGTGGCGCCGAATACACTCCAAAGGTGTGACAGCAGTCACACCTTTTTTATGAGGGTGGTGGGTGGGTTGTTACGTAGATGGTACCTTTGGTGTATAATTGTGGATAAGTATACCGTACCTATTCACGTAGGGTAGGTGTTAGAATTGGAAGTTCTGTTGAGTTGCTTATTTGCATTTTGCATAGCTATGTAACACGCCAGTGCGCCACTTAAACCGATTATTCGTTGATAATTAAACAGCCATAAATCGGTATGTAGTTTATTCACACTGGAAAAGCTGTGTGGTTAAAAACCGCGGTTGTCCACGTTTGATTACGGATGTTAAATTTTAGGTGAACATTCGCCTTCAACAGCTGTCCGCTAAAATTAGGGATTTCCACCCCCTAACATTTTTTTTAATGATATTTAATTATTATGTACCTATTACCTATTGGCTATTGTAGCTACATTTTACTATGATTAGATATATTATGTATAATTAAAATTGAGTAACAAAATAATTTTCATTAAATACCGGACATAATACTATTATAAATGTAATATTATTATATAGGAACTCGTATTAAAATATACTAAGAAATAATAAGATTACGAACGTCGAACATTATTCGTATTCAAAATTGATTATAAATAATATTCTGCAGTAATCTTAATTTATACATTTTATAATTTTGACAATTGTAAAGATTATATTAATACGGTCATAGATTATTGTTATTTGTGGAAATATAAATAATCGAAAACAGCGATAACGACTGGTTCTAATCGTTCAACTTCCAACAAAATTATAATTTAGGCACGGGTCACACTATCGCGGTTTCGCTGTGTTATAGAATTTTCCATTATATTTTTAGAAACAGATGGAACACGTATTTTGTGCATGTATCCCCATCGGCTGAATTACCAGTCATCAAAATATACAAATTACAAAATAATAAGATGTTTACTGTTCACTCTTTACTATCTCAAATATATTTATATTATATTATATTATAGGTATTAAATATAAATATATTATATTTATATTTAATAATTATCACACAATAAGTAAAAAAGTATTTTTCGGTAAATAAAATATGTGGCTCATCGGTTAATCAGTGT